TGAAGAAAATTACAGGCCTCTCTCATCTTTTTAAGTGGGAGAACTTGCACAATTGGTGGCTGACTAAATACTTTTTTGCCCCACTGTATACAGTAGGGATTTGTTGAGTTATCACTAGACTCTTAATTTGAAATGGTTGAAAAATATTATCCATCTTTGATTTTAAGTATGGAAATCATGGCAATATGTTGAAGACTAGAACTGAAATGTTAGCACCCAGTGAAAAATGGATGGAAAGGATGTAAATGCTTATTGAAAAATGGTAAGGCTGCAGGTATAGATGGTGTAACTGGAGAAATGTTGAAATATGGATATACTTTGCTCACAGAGTAGCTGTGTGACTTGTTTAATGTGTGTTTGAAGACTGCATCTATGCCTGAGAATTAGAAGATGGCCGTTGTAGTGTCATTACACAGAGGGAAATGTACCAAAAGTCAGTGCAAAACCTACAGAGGAGTTAGTCTGTTAAATGCACCTAGGAAGGTATATTCTGGTTAAAAGGGTACATAGTCAGGAAATGCATGACTAGATTTTCCTTCTTAGCAAGTGATCCATGTCCAAGTGGTAAAAGAGGGAGGGAATGGGCCCTCTGTGACACATGTGGGCAGCATACAGATAACTCTGATCACATGAGACTCCCCTTTCCACCTTTTACTGCTTTCCCCCTCACCATTACCATTATATAAACACGGTGTTGCCAAGAAAACCCCTCAGCATTGGCTTTTCCCAGTCTTACCTCACCAACCCACTTGACCAGAACTGCTTTTCACTTTTATATCGAGGACAAAACAGCCCTGTTTCATTCCATATCCAGACCAATACAGTATGCATTTTTTGGTTCAGATACAAACCACCTCTTCTATGCATGGAATGGTTAATGTACAAACTGTTATCTTTAGTTAGGGCAATGATGGTCTGATGCCTCCTTAGTTGTTCAATATAAATATGGATAAATATATAAAAATGCTTATAGTGATGTTAGAAATATATTGGTTAGGAATATCAGTGTTCATTTACATTTGTATGGATTAATGGATGATGTTTCTGAGAACCCAAGCAATGTGCAGCAAAATGTTAGATAGACTCTACAATGCAACGAGGAGTATGGATCTGCAACTGTATCAGAGAACATTAGTTCCATTTAACAAGAAAAGTAGGGTTGAATTATTTTAAGTTATACAAGTAGATTAATTTGTGTAACTTTACAGATTATTTACTAAAGCTAGGAAAATAGAAAAATAATATAATATAAAAAGCTTAGCAGAAAGATACTGGATAGTACATGTTCTACTACAAAGAATGAATGCTTATTGAAAGGTGGTTTGTTTGGTTCCTTACTGAATGTTTATTGAATGGTTGTGAATAAGAGTGTGCTTCTGCTACTTTGTTATATGGAAGTGAGAGTTGGGTATATCAGGAGAAAGATAAAAGGCTGAATGCAGTGGGAATGTATTAAGAAGCATGTGGCAAAACTAGAAGAGATAAGGTGAGGATGGAAGGAAGGATGTGAATTGGATGCAAATGTGAATAATTGCCAAGAGAAAATGTAAGAGGATCAAACTGCAAAACAAGTATTTAGAATGAGAAGTCCTGTGTAACCCTAACCCTAAGTATACTTGGATTTCTCCTTACCTTCTCTTCTGTTTGGTTTCTACTCTGTCCTGAACATTGGCTTCTACTGCTATCCAGCCTTGGGAAGTTGGCCTGGTGTTTGCCATATCTTGCTGTTTTTTTAACAAACCCTATTCCTGGAATTTAAAGGAGCAGGTGCAGAATAAAGCCATGCTCTGGACTTGTTTTCAGTGCTTGCCTGCTGCCAAAACCTTAATACAGTACTAACTGCATGCCGTGCTGCCTCTCCCAGTCAACTAGAGGGCAGCACCACAGCTTGTATTTCAACAGCCAGAATTCTTTATGGTCTACAAATTGACGTTGCAATTTGGTGGCTTGGGTTGCAAAGAATTTTTGTGGGATTGGGGGAGGTTGGAAGCAGGTGGGGGGGATGGAACAAAATTGGTCAGCTTGGGATTTTTTCCCCAAGTTTGTGGGAAGAGGCAATATCAGGAAAACCTGGGAGTGAGATAAATGTATTTTTTTTATGGGTATGCATGATTGAGTCATGTTTCTCATTGCAACTGGTTCTGCAAATACTTCTCTGCTAAGTTTCAACTATTTTTCCCCTCAACCAGAGATTTTTCAGTCATCTCCCTTGCTAAGAATGATGGTTAACATAGCCCTGCGCATCTGCCCAGAGCCACTTCCTCGTGAGATGGCAGTGACTAAATTTGAAATATAAATAAACTGGTACACTATGCCTCTGTCAGTGGCACACACCTACTTGAAGTAAGAGCCAATAGAAGGAAACCTAGAAACCTTATCCTGCATGCAAGTAAAAAGGGCAGATAGGGAAGCAAATACACTTAACAATAGTGTTTTGATGAATTAGACCGAAATCCATCTTCGGTTTTCTTTAGCTGTAATAAATTACAAGCTGGCATGAAGCTGTTACCACCCATTATGAGTTGTGTTCTACACAACTGGTAAGCAGAAAAACATTATCTTTAACCATAGTTATATCTGCTTTGATAAAACATAAAGCAAAATTTACCATCTCTTTATAATCACAATTTTTGTGAAATTGGGGGACTTTTTTTTTTTTTGAGGGAGTGGAACAAACCTTGAGTTAAATAAGAAAAATACCACAGAAGTATAATAAACATAACTGACAGGTAAGACAACTGTTTTCTCTTTTATTAGATCACATACTTCATTTATGTAAAAATCCTGGCTCAATTGCTAATTAAAAGGCTGTTAACAACTCTCTTCTTGGATAGGAAATAATATACTAGTGCGGACAAAAGCAGAACGTATAAAACAGCTTCATTTAAAAAAATACTTCTTGGATTTATACCCTTTCTTCTAGCAGTCTGACAATCAAGGAAGTTTACAACAGTAAGAAAAATACAAAATATAAACAAGGCAGTATTAACATAATTAAAATCTATATTAGATAAAATCAACATTTGCATTGTAGAGGAGGGCGCCATGATTGAGACAGGAACCACTTAGGTGAGTGGTAATTTCCATAATCATAAGCACCAAAAGCCCTTTCCCCAGGCAACATGGGTGGGCTAATGCATACTAGGAGAAACAATCCACCAAATATTTGTATCTCAAACCATTTGTAAGCCACTATCTTAAACTAGCCTCAGAAATAACTAGGCAGCAAATGAAAACTTGGGATAGGTATAACAGTACACATCATACACATCATTTGTGACTTTAAAATGTCTTCAGAGGCACCCCAACTGTATCCAGCCTGCCAGAGACCAGTAACCATTTGTAAACCAGCTAGAACAGAACTAGCACTTCTAGCCATTGCAACTTAGGCACCCAGTGCCAAAGCTGGATCCAGAATTCTGCTGATTTTGCCCAGAGCATGTTATCTTCCCACAGCATAGACTTGGGAACTACACAATAAATGCCATCGTGATTCAGGTTTCAGCCTGTTAATTGGCTCTTTGCAGCCTATAACTGATTCAAACCCTGTTATCTGCATTGATTCAAACCCTGTATCTCATTCACCTGATACAGATGGAATGAACATAGAACTGGATATCAACATCTTTCCCTAAATAACCTCTTGTTAATGTCCTCAGACAGTTGCTAAGAAGCAAGAGGACCGAGACAGAACATCATGGCACCCTGCAATTTAAATGGTACATGGTCCCCAAGAGCTACTGTCTGGAAACAGTCCTACAGGAATAAATGTAACACCCTATCAGTGTACACTCAACTCCTGTGCAGGGAGACCATACTGATGGCATCGAAAGCAAGTAAGAGATCCTCTCCCCACTCCCACCCCAAATCAGTTGGGTCATATTGCCTCTTTCTCCCAGTTCACATCACCCAAGGCAGTTTCACTCCTAATCCTGACTCTGTGAACAAACTGAATTTATTACAGTTTCAGAGTATTGCGCCATCACAATAAAGTCTTGTATTTCCCCACCCAAGAACTTATTTGCAGATATGAAACAATATTTCAGGAGGAGGAAGAGAATTCAGTTCTCAGAAAGACAGTATTAAGAATGCCAAGAATATTCTGATGCAATACCTGTTGGGATACAATGAAACAAGAAAATATTTTTTTTTGAATGTAAGATTTGTAGTATTGATTTCACATTCAAATTAAAGTGGTACTGATCTTAAAATATGGTAAAACTGTAATCATACCAAACTATAACATGCCCTTGTAAGTGAATTTTGCATATCACACACATTAGCAGTCATTATTTTAAGGGCCTGTGTCAATTATGTAACACTGTAAAAAGAGATACTGTGTGTTTGGTTTAACCTGTTTGAAGACTGTGGATTTGGTACCCATTACCATTTAGCTTAATACAGAAAGACATGCATCGTTTTATTTTTTCATAGAAAAAAAAATACTCTTAACTTCTTAAATATGATAGCAAGTCTCTTTCACATGGTAGAAGAGTTGAGAGCCACTTTGTTTTCAAAAGATGAATTAGCAGATTACAGGTAAGCCAAGAACTATTTTAAGATTAGTGATTATCAATTAGAAATCAAATCTATAGTTTTATTAGATACTACAAAAGCAATATGTTCAAGTATGTTCAAGTAAGCACACCCTGCTTACTAGGACATTTTTTAAATTCTCTAACCCCTAATCCCCTGCAGATGCAACAAATGGGTCTCCAAGCTCTACAAAGCAAATCTGAGGGTTGTGTGGGGAATACTAAGAATCTGTTCCATATCCTCTACAAGGGATATAAGATTCACATTTTATCAAGCCACACAAAAATCAGGTCTTATCAAAATATAAAATATTTATTATATTAAACTACAGTTACAGAAATATACAATATTTAGAAAAAGGCACTCCAATATCTCAAAAAACTCATTTAAAAGCAAGTTTCTTTACAACATCTGGTGATAACCAGTCCCTAAAAACAGCTGTTTATTCTTTGTACATTGAGCAGCCACTGCAAAGGATTTGATCTCCAACATCCTCTGATCTAAAAAAAAAAAAGGGGGGGGTAAAAGTCAGTTCAGTGTACCTTTTTGATTAGTAAGTTCTAAGAGAACGCTAATTTCTTTTGTGGCTCTTCCACATGCAACAATGCTTTGTGACAAATTAAGCTGTGAGAAATAAAAACATAAAAATTGTCTTACTGAATTCAAGGAAGATCCAACTAGACAATCCTGACATAAAGGATTGATTTAGCTAATTAATTCAGCCATGACTAATAGTCGCCAATGTTACTGAATTCAAGTAATAAATTATAGTGTGTAAAATATTCCCTTCTGTCAAGAATCAACAATGAATTTAATTTCTGGGTATCAATACAACCGAAGGAAATTAAGACTCATCTGGATAGGCACTTACTCTATAACTGAGCATAAGGAACAAACAATGGTACTGCAACAGCTGCAGAATTTGCTGCAGTTCTGGCATACGTATTGATCACACTGTGTGCAAACATCTTTGATGTCAACTGTTCTTATACAGGAGGAACAGGTCTTTGACATTCCTACTGGCAAAGCTGTGTACAAACAAATAGATTGTTAGATTAGATTTCAGCACTGTTTGCTATAAATAAACTTCTTTATAAAATAAATAATCTTCAAGATTTTTGTTCTTCCTAGCATTTTTCCCACAGGTGCGAAGTCCGCTTTTGTATTGCTTTATACAAAATCATCTACACTGATCAAAATAGATTATCTAATATTTTAGATAAGGTATCTCTTAATGCCACTGGAAGATACCGGAATTGAGCCTGGGACTTTTTATATGCAAACCAGGTTGTACTATTTTTCATACACTCCTACAGTTTCATTACACCTGGTAAGATCACTGAAATGCAATTTCAGGGCTTTGTCTTGCATTTATCCAATGAATACATCATTGCATTTAACTTTTACATGATATATTCAAAAATCTATTTTCAGCAAGACAATATCCTATATACATGCAAAATGTCATATACTGGGAACAAATCTTGCTGCTATTTGCTGTCTTCTCTTTTTAAAAGGAAAACTAGCTAGATGTATCCACAAGCACAGGAGAGTCTATTCTTTCACATGCACTTCACTAGAAACCAACCAATTAAAAACCACATTGGCAAGAATTTATGTCATTACACATACAGATATAGCTACCTTGAGTATAAAGACACATTCAATTCAGCACAGCTTCATAATATATTCTTCTCCTAATACAAACAGTATTGTTCTTGGAGTGTGCTTGGAAAATACAACAGATTAACAGTTGTGAAAGAAAGAAAGTGTGCATGGCAACTGAGAAAGAAATTTACACAGGCTGGGTGGCTATCTTTAGAGTTTCTGTAGCTGTATCATTTCTGCACTGCCTAAATGAGATGACTTCTGAGGCCCTTTCCAACTCTATTTTGTATTCCTTAAAAACATATTGCAAAAAAGTTAGTGCCACAGAGCACATAATATAATTCTAGATAACTGCAAATAACATAGTAATACTACAGACTTAAGTATTGAAATGCAGCTACTACGAAAATGATCCAATGACAGTAATATATGAGCACAGGTTTAATCATAACTACAACTACTGGATTCTCATATTATCGCTGAAAACAACAAACAGCAAACAACAAAAGTCTAGGTATAAACAATACATGAAACAGACTGAAAACAGCAAATGGAAAATTAATAGTACACAGATACTTGGCAGCTAACTAACTGTGCTTACCCATTTCACTTGCACAGGGCTGTCGAAGTTTTCCATCCTGTCCAATTAACATTTGTCCATTACATCTGTGCCAAGAACAAATTTCTGATCTGTCTATAAGTGGTTCTGGATACTGTGCAATTAGATATGTTCCCACTGCACTTCCATTGCAGGCAGTGTCCATATATGTTTGAGCGCCTTTGAAGAGCAGTTGTTTGGTTTTCTCTGCCATATGAACAAGAGCAAAGATGAGAATGTTATGAATGATATTCTGTGATAATTGTACACCTCCACAGTGACACTACTATGCATCATCCAATTTGGGTCTATCGCTGTTCAGCTGCAAAACTTCAGACAACCCCTAGATGGCAGCAAAGATGATTTCAGTTACTCTCTACTGCCTTCTAGTGGCTGTCTAGGTTTTTGTAGTCCAAATATGGTACCCCCCCCCCAATCCAACCAAGAAAGAAAATTGTTAGCAACTTCCAAAAGTCTCTCCTTTCCTGCAAGGAATTTCTAGTTGTAGACAAATCAAGAACATATGACCTACCTAATACCAAGTCATATTGGTTCACTGAGCTCAGAATTATGTTTGCTGTTTAAATTCTAAATACCTCAGTTCAAGTTGGTTTGATATATTATTAGCTATCACAGTACCATAGTGGCAGCAGTTAAACAGGAAACATCTCATGTGCAACACTGCACACAAGACTTCTCTTCTGCATTTTCTACTACCTATTAAACCCTTCATTATGAGAGCAACTAGACCATTTCTCACCTACTGCTTATTACACAAGAGTGGTAGAGAAGAAGACCTTACAGGACAGCACATACATACACTACTCATCTTTGTTTCTGAAGCAATTACATATATTGATTAAAATTGGCACAACTATCAATTATGACTGAATTTAGTATACGTACTTATGAGTGACCAAAACATAAAAGAGAGTCAAATTTCCTGCATGCCATACAATCTGAAATATGCAACTGATCTTCGTCAACACTGATGTCTAACGTATTTTAAAGTAAATTCTGAACAATTTCAGAATCTGTTTTAGGGGGAAAAAAAAGAACTCTACCAAAAGTAGACATATCCATGTAGACATATAGAGCTATGTATAGAGAAGGGATAATATTTCATTTTTTTTTCCTAACATGCTCCACTATGCAAAGATGGGTGTTAGTTCCCAAAATGAAATGCTATGCTCCTCTTGTTTACTTATTTTCCCCCCAGGGGTGGGGACTGTATTACATCCATGAAGTCAAGAGACTGGGAAACCTGTCTGCTGTGTGAGTAACTACACACTTTATATATATAAACGTGTAAACAGTAATACTATTTACGTGTGTAAATAGTATATATATAGTTAGCTTAAGCGCTAAGGATGCACAGATGAATACAGATGCTGAACAGAGCAAAATATAATGGAGATTAAACTATTTTAATCTTTTAAGCTAGCAAGAACATAAAATAGCCTTGAAGATGAAGCACGAAACACTTGGAGACGTTAACTACACGCAAACTGGAAGTCGCACAACTGAGCGCACTCTGCTTTCCGGGCAACAAATTCAAGTTCTGAAATCAAGCGTGTTTGGGGAAGCAAGGAAATCAAATGACACGGGCTCCTTTGACAAATTAAAAATGACCCCCGCCTTTCTAACAAACGCCCTGTGTCTCCGTCGCCTTCGTAAGCGACGCACACAGAATATCGGCCAAAAGAGCACCTCTGGGAATACACAGAGCGCTTTTCTTCTCACACGCCCCTCAAGTCAGAGTGGCCGGAGACTCAGCACCTCTGTGTTAACAGGAAACGGGAGAGAGGGGAGCTTCGCTTTCTTCCTCCAACAGCCGCCTTTCCAGAGGCCGAGAGGGAAACAGGCGCGACCCGCTCACGCCAGGGCAGAAAAGCCCCGCGGGGGCGAAGGGGAAACGCGCCCTCAGCAACGGAAGGAAACTCCGGGTCTCGCGAGGACAAGCCCCTCGAGCGCTTTCTCAGGCCGCCCCTCTCCGTCCGCCGAGTCGCCTCACCGAAGATCTCGCGCCGATACCGCTCGCCCATGACGCCCTGGCTCAGCTCCCTCAGCCGCACGCGCGTCTTCAGCTGCACCGGGGAGGAGTCTGCGAACGGGCAGGAGCGCTTCGGCATCCCTTTCCCACCACGCTGACCGGCGCAACGAGCGGCCCAGGCACGCGCAGCTCCGGGTTGGCGGGACTGTTACCACCACCGTTTAATCTAGTCGTGCCCTCCTGCGCGGGAAAAGGACCTCGAAGCGCACACAAGCCTCTGGAGGAAGCCGCCGCCGTGTCTCAGCCCGCCTGCTTGCTCACCCGCCTTTACGTCATCGCACCCTCAGCCAATCAGGAAGCAAGGTGAGGACGGGGGAGAGAGGTCGCTGGGAGTCTCCCGGCGGGCGTTCGCATTGGCGGGGAGAGACGTGACGGCCGCGGGGCTGGGCTGGGCGGAGCGGCGAGAGAGGCCGCGGGCGAGGATTAAAGCGTTCGGGCGACAGTGGTGGGAGCTGTGGAGTAGACCGCTTTGAAAGCGTTAGGATCTGCTGAGTATTCTTGAATAAGTTTAGCTTTAGGATCCGAGCGTTGGAGTCAAGACCCCATCAAAACCACAAATGACATGGGCATTTACCTGATCACCGTGGTTTACATTTATAGTAAAATTAACCAAGAATTTAACTTGTATGCGCAAAACAAACACGTTTAAGGACTAGGTTTATTCGATTGCAGCCTTATGCAAACTCTTCACTGAGGAGTGCATTTTTAAAATTTACTATGAAACGGATATCGCGTTGGACAATGAAATTATTTTTCACGGTGATAGGATGCCAAGGTTTTTCCCAGTCATAAATTGGGAGGAGGAAGCTGGTGAACTGAAGTCCAGGGTTAAGAGTGAAATGTGGCTTTAAAGACAAACGTGAACAATTCCTACATAGTACATCTATCCTACAGGCTTTGCAGAATAGGCATCTCATCTGCATTTTGTACAAAGCCTGGCCAATGTGCAAAATATCCAACAATACTATTTGTACAAATTAATGATTCAGCTTTTATTGAAAAATTATACAACTATACCACTATACTATGTAGAATTTATTTTATTTGGTGTAGAATTTATTATATTTGGTGATCTTGGAAGATTTTGGCCATATCTAATTTTTTTTTTAAATATTATCATTTATTCATAGGGATGTAAATCCCTACGGATTCTCAGCAGTATACAAATTACCTATGAAACAATAAACAATAATTTAAGAAACTAAGAAATAACAAAAAGTAAACAGATGAAAAGCTAGTCCAGATTGATGCAACATGCATAGTTATGGATGCACTTCAGTATGTCCACGTATGCTGCTACTGTGAGAGCAGTACTGGTTACCACTGGGCTTCCAGATGCAATTCATGGTGCTAGTAGTCACCTGCAAAGCCCTATATGGCACAGGGCGAGGGTATTAGTGGGGCCATCTATCTCCTATTATCTTTGCCTAACAAGATCTGACAGGTTGGCATGCTCCAGGTCCTGTCTATCCGTGTATTTTACTGGACCCAGAAGGCATGCCTTATGTTTCACTGTGCTTGCCCTGTGGAACAGCAGCCCCCCCTCCCTTTCCAGCTCTAAATGGCTCAGACCCTGACCCTGCTGGCTTTTTTAAAGACCTTGTTCTTCCCTTTGGAACTGTTGTGTGGGCTGTTACTATGTGATATGTAAATTACTGTCCTGGTGCTATATGTTTCTTTGCTGATTTTTATGTAATCTGATGTTATTAACCCTTGTTGGCTGCTGAGAGAATGACTGAATGAATGTAACATGACCATAGTACTCCTGAAAACAAACAGGTAAGCTACAGGTTTAACACAAGATCTGTTGGGAGAAAATTTGAAATCAGATAGAATACATAAGTACATAGAGTACATAAATTGACTATGCGTGTTCTTATAGACAGTTAATACCAATAAGAATTTGTTGGTTACATAAAGGTAAATTTTGGCTGACATTTCTTTCAAATTGAGGCCAATTCCTTCTGACTTCAATCCAGATTGGCTAGGTATTACCACCTAACCTAATTCAGAGGGAAAGCAGGGAGCAACCAGCAATAACACATTTGCTTTGGTGGTGCTTCCTGTTCATGTTACCCTCTTTGTTTTCAGTGTAAAATTAGCATATAATTTGCATCTATATAATAAATGTTGCTGCTGAACCTTATTCTCATATAGTCTCTTATATACTTGTGTGTCTTTTACTGATACACTTTTAAAAAGCTAAATATAATTAAATCATTAACTTTTCAAGTCAGCTATACCCCAAGTACTGTATCAAATTTAACATTATTTTGCATACTTGTATTAGTCTCACAGCATCTTGTTACTGGAAGAACAAAGATGATGGAATTACATCTGAGTGCCATGAAAAAGTTGGCAAGTGCAGGGAAAACGCTAATAGAAGGGTGATGTGGATTAAACAGTATATAAAGTGACACTTTAGAGATGAGACTAAGATTGTAATTTCTGAACTTTCAGATGTATTATAAAAATAAGGAACCTCTTTCTTCAAACACTAGTGTTTATGGACCAGATTCATGTCAAATCTGGTGTAATCACTTCTGTATTAATGCCAGAAGTGATTGTCAATTTCCTAGGATTCAGAACAAAGAGACAAAATCTTACTTTCTCATAAGGCTTTACTGAGCAAATAAAAGATCTATAGGATAAATACAGGTCCATTTACAATATACAAAATAGTCAAGAGAACAGTTTTAGTGCATTTGTTGAGCATGTGGTTTATATTTGCTATATCAAGAATTGTGTGGCAGAGTACATCATAAAAATGTTAAGCCCAAAACCTGACCTATTCTTGCTTGATGTACAATTAAGACATTTTCAATGTCTTATAGTGTTGTTCCCCACATTAACTGAGTCATAACATATTTTAGATAATGACTGCATTTAAGCAGTGTACTGAAGTACTAAATTGCTACAGCCAAATTTCACATCAAGCTTCAGTATAGTAGGAAACAATCAAAATACAATATATATTCTTCATGAAGAATGAACTATAACATAATGCCTTACTAAATATTTAATTCAATGGTATTTTATGGGAACAAAGATTTCCGTTAAAATATGCCAAAGTTAATAGAGTCTCTATGGATATCAGTTTAAACAAGTGCAAACTAAGAGGCCTAAGGAAGATCCACTGACCTGAATGGGAGCTACCAAAATTTTCTTGGACAGCTCCCATTCATATAGGTGGGAACTGTGTGGAAATATTTGCCTATGGTTTGTGGCTGCTAAAGAACTTAAGCTGCCTATGTGCAGGACTGTAAGTGATTATAGCTGGCTTTGCATGCAACAGATACTCACTTGAGAGAAAATACACAGTTGGGCAGTAGAAAAATGTAAAGCTGAGTAAAAGGTTATAGCATAGACATTTCAACTACAAAGCTAGACTTTTTAAAGAGGTACAGAAAACATAGTGAGCAAGTAACTGTTAATGTATTATGGATCTGTAATATAGAGTAAAGGCCACTTTGGTAAACTTTGGTCAGATCATATGTGCAGAGAGATGGTAGGTTGAGAGAAAGGTCTTGAATCATTTCTGAGAGGACTAAAGCCTATCTGAAATGCAAACTGATTAATGGTGCTCCTTCTAGAGCTGCACTAATAATCATTTTTAAAAAGCCATTTACAAAACATTAATATGTCATTAAGTCAACATTGCCTATGAAAGAGAATATTTTCAGAAGACAAGGCAAAGCATACAGAATTCTTGTTAAACACCACATAGGATATTTTAGAGCATTATATTGCAGCAAACGCCAAGAATTCTGTGGCACCCTAAAGAGCGATATGTTTCTTGGGCCATAAGGATGGGTCACTTTCTCTATACGAGGTAGGTAAGCAAGTATTATATACTGTGCTAGTGTTGGGAAAAGTGAGGCAGGGGTATTGACCAAGCATAGGCATCAAATGCAAGTCATGACGACACCATGCATAACATCACTATACAAATGATGCAAGTTATATAATGCGCATCATTTGTACTATGACATCATGATCTCACTTTCCCCTTCCTCTGAGTAGATGCCCATCTATCCGTGAGAAAGAGGTATACAAAACTGCTACTGACCTGCAGGGGCCTTTCAGTCCCTTATCCACTGTGCACACATACATGCATGTATGTGCGTGCACACACACACACACACACACACACACACCAGAGCCTTGTTGGTTTGTCAGCAGAGGAAAAAATAAGCATACTTTTGCATAAGTGGAAGAACTTCTCTAGATCCTGATCATTATTTTTAAAGCATTATCTAAAGCATTAATCTAACCCACCCAAGCACACTGCTTTTTGGTGGGCTTAAATGTAAATGTAATGTAATTTGTATTATAAAAATATAACTAAAATTAAGCACAACAAAGTCAAGAAGAGTATTGTGCTTCACAGAAAGTATAACACTATGAGAACAATTAGATACCCAAATGAAGTGTCCTGTGGACAAACACTTCCTCACAAATCCTCAGGAGAAACCAAATGGATGCAACATACTTTGGATGTTATGTTAATTAAACTTAGCTTCAATCAGAGAAGGACTATCAAACATATCTGCATTTTCAAGTATCCACTTGCATCCATTCATGCGATTGTAATCCTTACAACAATTCTATGACATCTGTTAATATTATTTCCATATTACAACTAGGAGAGGGGGACTGAACCTGAAGCAGCAGCACTTGTCTAAGTCATCTAGTACATTAACAGAAAATGTGAAGTTCAGACTTGAGGCTTTCTGAGCCTATCTTCATATAGTTTGAGATCCCAAAGGAAAAAAAAATAAAGGTCTTAGTAGTCTTTACAAGCATGTTACCTTTGCTTGAAATACATTGCCCCTTATCCCACTTGAGCATGTTCATCCAGTGCTTCCATGTGTACAAAAAATGTTAGCGAAAGCTTCTTAGACAGCAAAAATATAGGTAGCCCTTGTTTAGCGAATGCCTCATACAGCAACTGTCTGCAATTACGAGGGTGATGAAAAAGTAACTTTGCAACCAATCCTCGTATTTATGACCTTCCCAAATTGTGTATTCCCAATGATTCCCAAATTGTGTAAGAGAACATGTCACTAACATTCTGAATTTCTTACTCTCCGAAGAGCAACAGAGAAATCTTACGTTCTGCTGAAGCTCAAGTGAGCAGTGGTAAGCAACAGTGAGAGAAGAATATGACCTGAGAGCATACTAAAAAAGTGAAGTTACAGATAGTATCTTCACAGAGATGTACTGCAAGATATTGTGTTGGTATGATCTTTTAAAATGCATTTTCAAAATCTGCTGTACGTTTCTTCGTTTACTTGCCTCTTCTTTGTTTTCTTGGCTAACATACAAAGGACTGAAAGAACAGAATTTCTGAGCGCTTCATGTGGAACACCTACTGGAAAATATATGAATGAAGGGAATCTCTATATCCTAAGTTCTGACAGCTGTATCCAGTCTGATTCACTGCCAACAAATGACTTCAGGTACTGGCTTGCTTCCTTTTCTATGACATAACCTCTTTTGCTTCCCTTTCTGTTTTGGTATCTGAAGAATGCTTATTTATAAGAAAATACAGACTCCAGGATAATTCTACTTTGAATCCCGGACTTAAAAGAAGTTGCTTATCTTTTCAGTGCACCATTAGGCAGCCTCGTTTTAAATGATACATAGTCTCATTGCTTCCTGACACAGGAATGGGAACATCCTGCTTACAGCCTTGTGGTAGAAAGTTTGTTATTGATGGCAGTTTGGAAAAATAATTCCATATGGGTTTGACACTTTTAGAAAGTTACCTTAAGATTCTCCTCTACCAATTCACTCCAATTATTATGTAGTTCCCAAGTCAACTTAATATTTGAAAATAAGATAAAATATGTGTTTCTTAATCATAATCTAGGAAAGTTATTTTGATTTCAAAAGCATCTTAATTTGGGAGCAGAAAAGATCAGGTGAACCCTTGCTCATCGTAGCCCTTCTTTGGGCCCTTAAAAGAGCTGGATCATTGATTCTCTTGATTTTCCAACTCCAACCCATTTAACTGTAGAGAAAAAAAAAAGAAATAATTAGAACTATTACTCGGTGAATAAACAACATAATGAAATATATTTTAGGCTATAATCCTAGAAGGTGGATTCAAGAAGCCAGCTTCAAAAGCAATTAGCTTTAAGGCAGCTATGCAATAAAAGTTGGTTGCTTTCTGGCAGGAACAGCAAACAAAATTTAGTGTGGTTCATACACTATTTTTTAAATATATGACAACTTAATCTGTTTCACTGTTGCTGTTCAAATACTATGGAGAACCACATTATATAATCCTTAGGCACTGCAGTATTAGCAGTGGTATCATCTAAGTCAGCAAGTCTCCTCTAACGAATACCATCAATATGGTGATTATCAGTTATGGACCATATGCAGTCACCAGCACCCTTTGGAGTACCTGCAGAGCAAGAAATCCACCATATACCAGGTTCACATAGGCATGATGAGGATTCTAGTCTTGAAATACACAATTTTACTTTCAGCAATAGGAATTACTTAGGACCCCTGATCAGTCTAAATCCCCAGAAAGCTGCTTCTCTGTCCCATTGACAAGAACCCTTCCATGCACAGCTTAAACATATAGCACACCCTGTTAGAGCAGTAATGAAGAAAATACATACCTGACACACCAACATGGTTTTCTACAAATCTAATGTAATTTTGTGCCTTAGATGGAAGGTCCTCCCATTTTCTGGCACTAGTTGTGTCAGTCTTCCATCCTGGCATTGTTTCATATTCCACTTCTACTTTCTGCAATATTTCCTGATTAGCTTCAAAAGTGAAAAGACAACTATTCAGCTCATAAGAATAATTATTTTATCATTATTTAGCATTTATATTTAAAAACATAACTGACAAACCTTTAACCTGATCTTGGAAGCTTGCACTCTTTTGGTGACCTTTGATTTGGCCTAAAAAGGAGCTCTTTTTTCACAAAATAGGCAACCTTTGCTTTTAGAATAAATGAGGCTGCATAAAATAACCAGGTGAGGTCTTTATTGAACAATCACCCTGCTTTATTCACAACATTTAGGTGTCATTTTCTTGAGTTCAGGAAGATGGAATATTTGCACAATGTATTTGGAGTGATAGGATCTATCTGTCTGGAGATATCCTTGGTGAAATAATGGAGAAAATGATTGGCACTAATTTTACTTATATAAAGTCTGCTTGTAGGCTGGCTGGCAGAAGTGGCAATGCTACTGGGTATATATAAGTTCTGTAATAGTTAGCAGTTAAAAGGGAGGGGGAGAAGACCTGATCCTCCCCGCTCTTAACTATTAACTATTACAGAATGTGTATAGATGTGGTGCACAAAGGTGTCAAAATGCCCATGTACAAACCTTTCCTTTGAAAATTGCCAGGTCCCTGTGTCACATGTCCTTTAAAATGTCTTTCAGATTCTTAATTTTTTTAAAAAAGGAAAACTGGCATGCTATGAAGTCCAGCCCCAGCCTCTGGCATGAGCTCTTAGGCATTCTTGGAAACTAAAACTGTTGAGGGGTTGCAGCCTTGTGCTTTGTTTAAAAGTTTTCTTTATCCTCCCCAAAGGATGCAAGAAAATTGGAAAGGAGGTGGAGGTGGGCAGGAGAATCTTCATCTGTTTGTCTCCAGGTGTTATGGGGACTCCGGACTTAGTTAAACTTTTCAACCTAGTTCAAAGTTACACATTCAAGCAGTTAATAACATACCTGGAAAGTATGGAATTCTTTTCCCATCTAGTCTATAAGCCACACCAATTCTGATTTCATCAAGGACATCCAGAATATCCAGTTTTGTCAATGCCAGACTGCCCAGAAAATATCAGATGAATATAAGTCTCAATCAACACCTCCTTGAATCCCTTCTACCTGTTTTTATGCTTATGGGATATCCCAATAGCATGAATATATATATAATCACAGGGAAAAAAAATGCTACAAGCCACATGCAGTTTAAATTAATATACATGTTAAGAAGCACTTTAAAGACACAGCTATGTATCACACAATAAATATGAATTTTTTAGCTGCATACACATGATGAGAACTTACTGTAGGTATGGCACTTAAGAATTAAATGTATTTCAAAAACTTGAACACAGTGTGGGTGGTTATAGTATTTTAAAGTATGAACAATCCACCGATATCAAACTAATTTTTTTAAGTTTCAAGAGTCAATTAGGAATCTATCTTCAGAGCAATTAATAGTGCAGATATCACTTGGCCTGTCTTTACCTCCATTAATTTTATTTAATGCTAATCACCATTCCCTATCAATCAGAATTTAAAATAAATATTGTGTATCCCCATATTTTTCAGATTGCAAGACCAAGCATTGATGCAAAACTTTATGCTTAGGCAGAAATAGGAAGTATGCAACACCACCTTCTATTTCCTGCTTCTTTCTGCTTTACAGCTCCTGAAATGAGCATTTATACTACAGTGCTATTGACACAAGAAGTTTAAGCCCTACTCTAGAGAAATATTGCTTTCTTTGGGATAAGGTGCTACTGTTTCTTATCAAAATAGAAAATATAACTTCGCTAGACTAATTGTAACATTACCTACATATTTGTACTCCAAAGTTATGAGTTCCAAGTGTAGCTCAAAATCTGTGATGCTTACGCAGTAAATCCGTTGATCATATGAGCATATCTCAAAATGACAAGATCTAGCCAACCACAACGTCTTTTCCTGCCTGTGGTCACACCCCATTCATGACCTCGTGATTGTAAAAGGTCTCCAATTTCCTACCAGAAGCAAAGATATCCATGAGATTGCAACATTGGTCATAGCTAAGTGTCAAAAGCCACTAGCAACTGATCTATTGTCATGTCAAAAATACCCATTAAAAAAAATCATTTAGAAAACAAGGGATGTTCAACATGGGACACTGAGTCAGAAATTCTCCAAACCCTCCAAAAGCTTTTTTTCCCCCCTCCATTTCCTTTAGCATTAGCCAGGGTTGGATTCAAGATCCAAGCTGGCAAATTATGGTTGGTGTTTGTCCCTGAAATCAGACTCAGAAACTCATTCCAAATCATGATTGAAGGGAGGGCAATAACTACAGATTACAGCATTTACATATATAGACATCAAAGCACTTAATGTATACGTGAAGGAAAGCTACCTAAGAAAGCAGGAGAGAATGCAAAATCCAGTCCTCATTCAGTTTTCCAAATCATACTTTGAATTTAGACTATCTGTATTTTTAAATCAATCTTAAGCATAAAATTTTGGTGTAGTTCTTTATGAAGCTCATTTCCCCCAATAGTCTATTTATTTATTAAATTTGTATGCCACCTATGCTCCACAAGACTCTGGATTATTTTGCCCTATTCTACTACTTTGCCCACTACCCCATTGGCTTTTACAAGCTACAGTAAAAATAATTTAAGCAAACTAAGAACTCTAAATTGAGAGAATCAGGTAGTTCATATGATGCTGACATGATTTTTAAATTAGATTCAGATCAGGATGCCTCTGGCAACAAAGGCATTTGAAAGCATGCTATAGAATGGAGCTGTAGTAGTGGTGGGGGAATCACACTTTAAAGAAAATTAAGACAATTGGGAGAGCAAGTTATATCATCAGCACATTTTCTGTTTTATAATGAAGCTTGAGATTGGCCTAACTGTAGCTTGCATGTATTAGCAGGGGACCATTACAACATATTATCCTGTTAAGTTTTTTTGTATGGTTTTCATGATAATAATAAACTTACATTTATTTGTTCAGTTGGAAAGGCTCCAATTCCCACTCTTGTTGTGTAGGCTTTTACTACCCCATACACCTCTCCAATATACTGAGGAGGAATACCCAGCCCAGTGCATACACCACCCACAGTGCAGTTTGATGATGTCACAAAAGGATATGTGCCTAGCAAAAAACAAAAATTAGATACATTGTGCTTAAAAAAAAAAAAGAATGCACTTCATTTCAAACAGCCATTCAACATGTCAGTTTCTTAAAGGAACTTTAAAGATCAGGGGATCACATGAACATGTGTTGGAGAAACCTGCATAGCACAGGTGGTTTATCAAGTACACTATTGCTCTTCTATACTATTAAATATTGTTACATTTAACATTCATATACAGGTGATTCTCACTTAACCACCACTCATTCAGTGACCATTCAAAGTTATGACAGTGCTCAGCGAGGAGACTTACAACCAGTCTTTGTAGTTGCGGCCATCGCAGCATCCCCACAGTCACGTGATCATGATTTGAGTGCTTGGCAACCAGCTGGCAATTATGACAGTTGCAGCATCCTGCAGTCACATGATCGCCATTTGTGGGCTTCACTGCCGGCTTCTGACAAGCAAAGTCAATGGGGAAGCCAGCAAGAGGTCACAAATGGTGATCATGTGACGTCGTGCTTAATGACCATGCGGGATTCGCTTAATGGAAACCAGAACTGCCACAACTGCTGCCATAATTCAACACTGTCACGCTTAGCAATAGAGTTGCCGGTCCCAATTACTTTTGTTAAGTGGGGACTACCTGTATGCTTGTAAAAAGATACTGTACCTTCTGTTCCAGAATGAGACAAATTAAACAGGTGGTTTAATAAGCCAACTGAGAAGAAAACATGTCTCTACAGCACAAAACAAATTCCTCCTTGAAACTCTACTGCTAATCCTTACTCACTTGCATTCTAAAAGAGGTCGTATATTCTCTCACATTGGCCCCTAAATAAGATACCCTTCAGTATACTGATGACATGGCTGGATCCAAATTAAGTCATGGTTGTAGTATGCCCATTGAAATCAACAGGGTCTCATCAATTTCAGTTACTCTCAGCATGACAAAGACTTGTTGCATGATCATGCAAATGCATGCATATTTAAAAGTGTATGAAAAGTCTAATCTAGCCACCATTTCTCCCAGTGGCCTGTCAGGCTTCAGGGAAGACATGCATTGTTTCTGATCAGTATGCAGTATTATTCCTCACCATTATACATCTTACTTATGAAATAATAATCTAACCTTTCTCACATCTATATGCAGAGACAGGAGAATTTATTACATAGATTTCTATATAGCTAGACAATCATACATTTTACCAGGTTACATACCAAAGTCAATGTCAAGCAGTGCTGCATTGGCACCCTCCACAAGAATTTTCTTCGGAGAGCCATGCAGTGCTTCATACATAAAATAAACTCCATCTTGGACCATTGGTCTTATTGTTTCAGCATATCCCTGCAACAGTCCATATACATAAACAGTTACTTGAATATTTCTCCTATACTGGCTGAAAGTTAAAAACAGAAGCATATCAGAAGCCAAACCAGAAAATCACAATTTCTAGGCAATTGGGGCTGAAGAATTTATACAGACAAATAGCTAGCTGTGACATGCTGGCTAGATGCTTTAAAGATAAGGTTGATTATATTTCTCATGACAGATTCTGAAATTTTGCCAGTTTAGTCTGCAGAAGAATAAAGAACGTTGTCTTGTCAGATTCTTTAGGATGACTTTGGGTGCTTAAGGATCTGAATAAGGTGCTTGGAAAAGTTTGACCAATTCATAGTCAAACAGTTATCCCTCATAGCTAATTGCATATAGGAGGACATAAATGTTCAGTTGAATCCAAGAGGTTATAAATTCTTCTTTAGGTGAAGGAATTGTTCCAGTCATAATGACACTAATGACCCTAATCTTGGAAAAGAAAGCACTGGACCCAGAAGAACCGTAGGCCAGTGGTCATCTCTTTCCTGGGCAAGGTGCTTAAGCAAGTAGTGGCTACAATAATTTCAGCTGGGCTTTAGGTCTGATTTTGGCCTTAAAATTGCTTTGGCCACATTGTGGGATGATTTTTGTTGGGGGAGAAATAAAGGGTGTGCAGTCTCTTGGACAGCTCAGAAGCTATCATCATCATCATGTCATGGCATTCTCCTGGAAAGATAATCCAAGCTTGGTGTGGGTGGAGCAGCTTTGCAATGGTTCTGCTTGTACCTGGATTAGCATGTCCAGAAGGTCATGATGAGGGATTTCTGCTCCATGGCATCTAAGCTGTGAAGTTCTGCAAGACTCAATTTTATCTTTTTTACATCTGTATGACTGCTGAGTGAGAGTATTCAGAGATTAAGAGTGAAGTGTCATAAGTATGCTGATAATACATAACTCAAACTCCCCTTTTTATCAGATCCAGGCTAGACAGCAGAAGTGCTGAATAAATATCTGGCCACAGTAATGGACTAGATGACAATCCTCTAAATTAATCTCTCTAAACAAGACAGATATCCTGTTAAAGGATGATTTACCAGTCCAGGTAAGCGGTGTTGAACCTGTTCAGTAAAGAATTGTACTCCCCCCAAAAGATCAAGTTTCAGTTTGAAGTGCTTCTAAATCCACCCATGTGTTACTGAAGCACCAGCATCCTCTGCTAAGAAGCCCCTTTTATCAGCTTGAGGAGGCATGACGCTTAGGCTCTGCTTGGATCCTTACATACCCTCTTCTCATTTTAGATCACTACAGTGCATTGTTGGTGAGACTACTCTTGAAATTGGTCCACAAACTTCAGATGGTACAAAATACTACAAAAAGAGTACTGAATGGGACTGGACATCATGAACATATTATACCAGCCTTATACGATCTTTACTAATTCCCAGTTCATTTCCTGACCAAGTTCAAAGTGCTGGTATTAACCTATTAAGCCCTTCAAGGCTAGGTATGACAATATCTGAACGAAATTCCTGTATGTTCCTATCCATATCTTGAAATCAGCTTCAGAAGCCTTGCTCTGTCCTCTTATGCTGAGATGCTATGAAATACACCTGATACTGACTTTATTTTTTCAGTGACAAATAAATACAGTTCTATTTTTCCAGGCTTTTAATCTCAAGGTGTTAAAAAGCAGAACCCTCTTTTTAGAAACTTCTTTTCAGGCTGCTGCTTTTTTGTTTTAATGGTATGTATTTGCATTAATACTTGTATATTTTAACTGGTTTAGGGGTTTGTTTGATTTGAATCTGTTGTAAGACATTCTGAGAAAACATGATTTTTAAGGGCAACATGCAAGTTTTAAAAATAACATTTTTTGCTCAATTCCATTTTATGTGCATATTTGTGTGTGTGCAGGCTTGTATACATGTACACAGAAGTTTCTCAGACAACTATCAACGTTTTTTAGACAAAATGGTCCCACCCATTTGACAACAAAACCTTTTGCTAGGGTACTGCAGTGGGAGATATCATTGATACTATATAAAAATTAAAATGTCCTTAGGTAAATGCAAAGTAGTATACTGAATTTCCAATTACAGGTAGTCCTCACTTAATGACTATTCATTCAGTGACCAAAGTTACGGCGAGGCTGAACGAATGGTACTTAAACCCAGTCCCTGCAGTCAAAATTTGTGCTTGCCCACACTTCAACTCCCTCCACACATCTTCCCCCCCATCTCTGCCCTTTTGGCCGCCCTGCACCAGAGCTGAAGTGGAGGCCCAGGGCTGTCAGCAGTCTCAGCCAGCTGCCACCACCCCTGGGCTTCTACTTCAGCTCCAGTGCTACGGCCAAGGAATGCTGATTCAAGCCCAACACTGTGGCCAGCCGCCACAGCGCCAAGCTCCCGCCTCTTCCACCGCCCTGGGCTCCATAGGCCCTGCTGTACCCAGCTGACCTTAGCCGTCTTCCTCTCACTGCTGACGAGGTACACCCAGCCTGGCCCTATGCAAGGCAGCTGCTGGCTGTGCCAAACCTTCCTGAGGCCACTCGCCATTCTCCAGATAGCATGTGGCGTTCTTGAAATAGCCCTTCTTGCAATCCTTCAGAAACCCTTTGGAAAGCTGCTGAGGCCTTCTGAAGCATCACAAGAATGGTGGGTGTGGCCTTCTCACGAGGTTTCAGAAGGCCTCAGAAGCCTTCTGAAGCATTGCGAGAATGATGTGCGCAGCCTTGGGAAGAAGGCCTGGTGTGGCCAGCAGCTGCCTTGTGTAGGCCAGGTCCACCTCGTCAGCAGTGGGAGGAAAATGGTAGGTCAGCTGGGCATGGCAGGGTCTGCAGTGCACAGGGCAGCGGGGGTGGCTGGGGCTTTGTGCTGGGATGGCTGGCCATGGCACAGGGCTTGAGGCAGCACTCCTCGGCAGCAGCAGCACAGGGGCTGAAGTAGAGGCCCGGGGGCAGTGGTGGCCAGCTGAGACTGCTGAAGGCCCTGGGCTTCTATTTAGCTCCAGCGCCGTCACTGCTGAGGAGTGCCACTGTGCAGGGCAGCTGAAAGGGCAGAGATGGGGAGGAGATAGGTGGGTGGGGGGAGTTGAAGAGGTGGCAGAGGAGGCAGTCCCTTACCTTACAGAGGCTCAGGGCTAGGAGGTACCAAGCCAGGAATGGCTTGGATCAGGGTGAGTCCTCACCTAATGACCAGTGGGATGTTAACAACAGCAAACGGGAGTGCTGGGATTGCTGTCGCTAAGTGATGCAGTCATGTGAGATCGCACTTTACAATTGCATCACTTAGCAATGGAAATTCTGGTCCCAATTGCTGTTATAACTCAATAACTACCTGTATGTGTTTTGTATCTGATTGCATTTTAAACTGTTTTCAATGCCATACCTTTTGTAATTTCTAAAAAATAAGCAGTAATTCAGTTTCTCTTACTTTACTTCTTCCCTTGAAACTGAAATTCTATTTCTGTTAAAATCCCAGAGTCTCAACACGGGAGTATTAGAGGTTTACCTTTAGTTTTTTTAGTTGCCCTTCTATGTCAACTTCTAAAGAAGGAAACATTGACTTGTACTGGTGAGCCAGATTTTTAAATCTGCAAAATATCAACAATTAGCAGCATATATTGTATACAGAAGTTTTAAACTGTTTTTAATTTTTCTGTTCAAGAACTTTTCCTTCCTAGTCACAAACAAAAAATTCCCTATCAAATATGAATGAAGACAAGGTTGTAGCTTCAAACAACAGCTTTTTAAGTGGCAAAGATAATCAGAATTTATCTTATCAAAATCAATTGAAGTGATATATTTCTCCAAATCTAGCTCATTTTCAATAATATATATACAACTATCCTCATAGTTCTCCACAGAGCACACTCACACATATCTCCCTTCTGTGTCTTAAGAGTATACAAAAATGTTCCCACCCAAAGGGTATTCCTTGCTGTGCAGTCCAGCAGAATACCTTGATGAAAATTCATTGAAGTCTGAAAGAAGATCGCAAATCCGAAGTCCTGTTCGTGCAGCTTTGGAAGAATAAGTTGGTCCAATTCCTTTTTTTGTTGTGCCAATGCTAGCAACAAAAGACAAATGAGTGGAATCAACTGTTGAGCTATTCAGTTATTTAGTGATAGATATTTCCAAATGTTTTATAATAGGAATTGGTTAAAATGTATAGTCTGGATGTGCATGTGTGGGCGTGTGTATTAGAAAGAAATATTCACCTATGTGGGCTTTTCAGATCTAGGACTCATCATGAGTTCTTCTTTTTATTAGAGTTTTCTTTTGAGAAATCAAACAAAATTGGGAAAAAAGTTCCTATTTTTTCATGATTGTATAGAAGAAAGTCATGTGGATTGCACGAATGACTCTCATTGAACATTATTATTTTGTGGAAGGTGGATGCTGAAATCGAACACATTTGGGGAAGGCTGATATAACTGGAACAACCATATTTTTTCTCTTGTGGTTCACCAACTACCTCTCTTCTCTTTAAAAGAAACAATAGAGTGGCAGCATCTCAGGCCCAACCCCACCTTAAGTCAGGGTTCATCTCACCAACTGAAGAGCAGAGGCCAATAAAGGGGGTTTCCGAAACAAGGAAGGGGGATGTAGCCATCCCTTCTAAATTAAAAATGTGGTTCTGGCACCAGGTTTTTCTGTTTCAGTTTTACTGGTCCTTGTTATTTTTTATTTTATTTTATTGTTATTGTGTTATTGTTGTATATATTGTTTTATTTTTGGATGGCCCAACCCCACCTTAAGTCAGGGTTCATCTCACCAACTGAAGAGCAGAGGCCAATAAAGGGGGTTTCCGAAACAAGGAAGGGGGATGTAGCCATCCCTTCTAAATTAAAAATGTGGTTCTGGCACCAGGTTTTTCTGTTTCAGTTTTACTGGTCCTTGTTATTTTTTATTTTATTTTATTGTTATTGTGTTATTGTTGTATATATTGTTTTATTTTTGGATGGTAAGCCTCACAGAATTTTGGCTATAAGAAAGGTGGTTTTACAATGTTTTAAATAAATAAATTACCCAAATGGAAACATTTCTCTTCCTTACCTTCCAAGGCATTCATATTCTGAAGATTCTCAGCCAAAAGGCAGCCCAGGTAGACAACAAATGTAACTGGCAAAATATTATGTTCCCAACCTCAGTTTATTTGATGTTACTGATATGTTCCCTTTGCAAGGCATTCTTCCTCTGGACTGCTCATCCCCCAAACTTCAGTCATCCATCTTTGGGAAGTTCTGATCTTCTCAAAGATTGCAATGTCTTTCTTTCAGGGAATTCAGCAGTAGCTATGTTACCACACACAGATTAATTGAACTGGACTAGCAAGCTATGCATGTTCAAGGCCTTTTCCACACTGAACTGTGTGCCAGAGTTGCTATGAGGATGCTTCTTGTCATTACTTCACTGCTAGATTTTTCAGGGTGGTTCTAAAAAGGTTAACTGGGTATCATTTTCCAGCTCAGTGACCTATCAAATATAACCTCCAGTACAGAGGCATGGCTGCAGTCAACTGGAAGGAACAAAAGCATGTCAGTAAGTATATAGTCTTTTCCCAAACATTGGAAAAGTTTACCAATAATCAGTTGAGTATGAGCAATCTACTTTTACTCAGAACTGATTTTTTCCCCCATCACATACAGTTCTGACACCATGTAGGGTTTGACTCCTAGTGACTGTATCACTAAATATTCACCAGTGTAATCTGACTTCAGTGATAAAGGAGATTTTTCTAGTCTGTGATCCACTTACATCACATGCCACTTCATAATCAACCTTAATATGGTCTAAGGCTGATCCTGGCAGTCCAAAGTACTTTGAGACTCTAAATCCCTAATTCAAAGGTGTCTTTTTGTTCATTGTCCAGCTTTTGCAACCATACCACAGTATTAATTCAGCAGTGGCAGCTGTGTAACTGAACAAACTTAAGAGATTCTCACACAGAATCAAGTTGGTAATGCTAAGTCACTAATTTGCCTCAGGAAAGATAATATATATGATTCAGTGTCTTTAATACTTACACTAGTCAGTATGCCCATAGTGTTAACATTCTCACAGAGAGTTAACAGCAAGGTTTCTATTGATGTGCTATGTCATGAAGAAAGCTGCCACGCTCTAAAATGCAGTTTCTATAATGGAGCCTCATGTGTAGATAGGAAGAAGGCAGCAAGATGAATAAATACGGACATCAAACATGGATTGATTCAAACATTCAAGTCCCCCACAGCAATAAAAACCTCACCACCTGATCTGTCTCACCATGCACTGCTTGTAATGTATATTCATTTTCTTCAGAGCAGATACCAGCTGTTTGGAGGTACAGCTTCTATTGGTACCCCCATTCTATACAGCATTGTCCATTCGAGATATATGCATGACGCATATAGGGATCAGGATGTTCTTATGCCTTCTGTGATTCTTGCATATTTAAAACTCATTTGTGCATGCGTGCATACTTGTAAAATGATATTTTGAGCAAAAACAGTCAAGAAAGTAACAGAATCATTGCATTACATGCACTACTACATTTGATATGCTTTCCAGACTTACACCACATCTAGTAGCAGAATTCAAGTATACCAAGATATATAATTACTTTTTCCCCTCTTGTGCTTGACGCTGCACTTCTTGAAGTCCATCAACTGCCTGGTGAAAATCAAACACTGCATAGCAGAGGAAAAGCCACATGAAGAATTGAGGGAGACAAAACAAGGTTTGGTTTTCAAATGTTTCATACAATTATGCTTTTAATGTTCTAACAATGAAGAAACTAAACTGCTGTAATTATTAGCAGCATCATACCTCAAAGTAAAGAGATTGCCCATGATATGGAAATGATTTTATTTTTAATTTACATCTGTTACATTGACTATATTAAAGTAAGAATTATTTGTTCATGATACAAAAATATGAATTCTGCCCAATACAAATAAAATTAATATGAAAAAGTTTTATGATTTGTTCTCTTTCCCTGAATACTACTTACCAATATGTGCTCTGTCTGATATGATGAGTCTTTTCTCCCAATCTTTTAAACCTAGGAGAAGAAATGTGTACCAGTTTAGAAGGGTTTGGCTCTAAAGGACAGAACAGTCTACAGCAGTGTTTCTCGACCTGGGCAATTTGACGATGTGTGGACTTCAACTCCCAGAATTCCATAGCCAGCATGCAAGTTGCCCAGGTTGAAAAACCCTGCTCTAGAGCAATGATTCTCAAAGTGTGGTATGTGGAGGTCCAACATTGCAGCCTCATAGACCAGAGCCTGCTCACCACCAGGGATGCATTTACAGTCACTGGAAGTGTTTTTCAAGGAAATGTAATTTGCTATGATCTCTTGATTTTCTTCAGACTTGGCCTCTTGTCCACAATAACAGAGGTAGCTTTTACGGAGGCATCTGTTTTCTCTGCTTTTGGAATTTTAAGATATCCTTTTAAAATAAAGTTGAATCCCATTATTTATAACAAACCCCTCTCTTTTTAAAGGAAAAATATTAAGTACAAACCTTTTTTCTCATTTTTTTCAGCTTCTTCAAATAAGCCAGGTAAATGTATAACCACTCCATTACCTAAAAAGTATATGCAAAACTTTTGCTGTAAAAGCAAGAAATCAAATATCCTCTTTAAAAAAATAAGCATTAGGCAAATGCAACTATCATCATGTCAGAAGAATTTGCAACAGATTGGGCTTTTCCAGCTTTTCTAATTAAAGTTTTAACTTGGGATGTTAGGGAATGGATTACTGAGTTAGGAACTCTTCCATATTATAGTGCTTCACCCTGCTGTGTGTCTCTGCCTTCTCTAAAGAAAGGCTTACAGAGATTGATGGCAAAGTTTTTTTCTCTGTCTCTCAGATAATCTGGCAGCTGGCCTTTATTTAGCTGGAAGGCTTTGATCTTATCTTTTGGCACATTCTGGCATTCCCACTGGGCACCTTCTGCATTGGTTTAGTGGGTGTCCCTCAGCTCCATTCATCCTCTTCTGGTGCTTAGTGCACTTCTCCAGATTGTAAACTGCTTTGTGGACTTTGGACCACTCTGAAACTGATGAGCTTTCAACAGTATAAACACTGCCCAGTCTATTTTACCAACCAACTTTTCTCTGTCCTATAACTAACAATCCATCTTCAACAGCCATTTGTTGTCTACTCCATTTTAGTCACCAGCCATTTTCCAAACCTCCATTCCAGGTTTCCCTAGAATTCTGTCTGATGTTTTCTAAGACTTCCCCCTTGAAGCCAGCTTTATCCAGGAGCTCCTTCTTCTCTCCTATGACAGAAAGTTTCCTAATGGAAACTAAACTAACACCTACTCTCAGCTTCTTGATATCAGCAAAGAGGATTAGCTTGCCCCCAAAAATGTTTGGGTTACAGCATGGAAATCTGAGTATAAGATAAGCCAGCAGTGAGACATGGCAACTGCAGGTGCATCACAGTCCTTCATCTCCAGATCATGTCTCATCTGCTCCAAACACAAGACCATATCTAGCATGTGCCCTTCATGGGTATTGCAGCCAAGATTACTTGGGACAGGTCCATGGTTGCCAGGGAGGCCATAAACTTATGAGCTGCATAGATTCCTCTTTCAGGGCATGGAGACTGAAGTCCCCCAAGACTATCAATCTTAGGAACTGCAGTAGCAGCCTTTAGATGACATCCAGAAACTCATGCAGGTCGCTGCTAGGCTCCTAGGCATTTGGTACACCAACAGTAACCACAGCCTATCTCTGTGGTTCAATTCTACATATAAGCATTTGCAGCCAGCCACCTCCAGGGGAATTCTCCTTGCTACTGTATTGAGAAGGTCTCCCATATTATCATAGCCACCCTCCTGCCTGACCAAGGTGTTGCAGTTGCTGCAGGATCTGAAACCTAGCTGGGAACATTTTTGATAGGACTATATCCCCATCATTGCCCAATCAGGTCTTAGTAATACATGCCAGATCAATGTGTTCATCCACCAGAATATTGTAGATGGACACAGTCTTATTTCACACTGACCTGGCATTTACCAGCAGCAGCTGGAGACCAGTGCACCCAACAGTTCATCACCTGGGTCCAGGTCTGGGGCAACTGGCTTAGAAGAGACAACTTCTCCTGTAATGGTAAAATGTAACTAAATACGTATGAAAATTAGACATAAAGTAGGATTTTTAACAGCTGTTCAAAGTTCTTCTGAACATTAAAAATATTTCAGTCACTTTTGCTAAATCTTAACTAACCATTTCTTCATGTCTTTCACTGAAAAAGCACAGACAAAAGGTCAGATTTTCCTCAAAATCTGAAAATGAAACAAAAATGAAGAAGTTGTCTTATACTTTAATTTAAATTAAATCTGATGTATTCCTCAGTACTGAAAAGGATAAGGCATAAAAGTTGCTAAAGTAAAGAATCCATTTACATTTGGATCTTATAAATCTGAATGGAATACTTATACTTACCAATAAAAGAAACAGCCTTAGGATTAATTATACCACTAGGAAAGAGGTGAAAATCGTATTCCTTCCCGTCAACAACCACAGTATGACCTGCATTATTTCCACCCTACCAAAAATAAAATAAAATATTTAAATAATTTTTCATTTATTGGTATTGGTGAAGAACTTACCTATTTGAACTGAAATTCTATACCTTTTAAAATATTTTAAAAAATGAAATTTACAGGTTAGATCCAAACTAAGTCACGCTTTAGTCCTACTGAAGTAAATATTTTAGTTAATTTAAATTTATAAATTGGCTATGCTTTTGTCCAATTTATCCACTTAAAAGAGAGAGATATTAACGGGACCTATGGACACAGATAACAATCATCAATGCGCTATTTACTGTAAATAATGAGCCAGCAAAGAATAATATATTGTGGTAAATTGTGTTGCCCCAACTGCTAAGTTTCAGTGAGGGAAAGTGTCTTTACACTTTTAGTGCAGAATAAATTATGGAAAGCAATGTGTTCCCCTGGTTTTGTTTACCCACCCAAGCATCACCTGCCAGCAGGGAAAACCACCACCTATCAGTTGCCTTCACATGTGGTGGGGTAAGGTGGGTGGGCACCTGGGCCAAAGGGTTTACCCCTCTTTCAAGTAGCCTAGCACAGGTTGCTGGCACTTCTGCTTTCCAAAAATAGCCTGGGGTAGAAGAGGTCCACAGTTTGAAACTGGGGGGGGACTGCCCAGAGAACTGGGGGTGCTCCCTCCCACATCTCTCCTCCATGTCTATGATGGTCAGGTCAGACTAACAGGTGCTGCAGAGGGATGCAGGATGAAGCAGGAGGGAGCAATTAGAAAGAAGGGAATGGCACTGATATCTGAGTTGCTGTTGCTAAACCCATGTATATAAGGAGCCCACATAAAACTCCAGTAGTTCAAGCTCAGTGGCCATGGAGGACATGCCTGGTTTTAGGTATTGTGCTTGTTTTCTCATTTGCACGCTCACCAGAGCCAGTGTTGCATCAGTTGACCTTATAAAAACAAATAAATAAATGACAGAAAGAAAATACCCCTCTCAAGTAAAAACAAGTAAAAAAAAAATCATAGGACTAACAAGGTAAGAAAAACTTAAGAATTAAAAGGCTATGAGCAGGGTTAAAATGAAATCTGAAAGTGTTCCACCAGGGCACCATACTGAGTTGAGTAGGCCTACTCCTGAGAGCTACTTGTCTCACCTTAGGTAAATACAGTAATGCTATTAAGTAGGGTAATGGAATATTCTTTTTAGAAATACACAGCTCAAAAATTTTTTTTCCCCATTTTGCCAGAAAGGCCATTATCTAGACTTTCTTCTTGATTTCTATTTTTCCAAGGCTGTCCTTTAACAACTCTGGAATATAGTACATGTATTTCCTGGACATAATTGCCTTACCATATTTACTTAAGTTAGGATCAGTAAATGAACCAATCATAAACCCATTTAGTCAAATTCCTGCAAGACCCCTCACATTTAACCTCTAAAATATTGTTTCAGGAAAAGTCTCAGCAGCTCTTAGATGTCTTTTAATTCTAAAAGGATAAGAACTGCACCTATAGATTTTGATTGACTGATAATGTGCCATCAAGTCAGTGTCAACTCTTAGTGACCAGACAGCCCTTCTCCAGGATGATGTTTCCAACCTAGCCCTTCAGGTCTCTCAGTGCTGCCACTGCCACTATAATTAAGTCCACTGTCTCCACTGCTGGTTGTCCTTTTCTTTCCTTCCACCTTTCCCAGCATTATATACTTCTCAGGAAGGCTAGGTCTTCGCATACTTCGCATCCAAAATATGATAATTTGAGCCTAGTCATTTGTGCCCCAAATGAGAACTCTGGGTCAATTTGTTCGATGAGCCATTCGTTTGTTTTCTTGGCTATTAACTGTATTCTCAGCTGTCTTCTCCAATATCAAAGTTCAAAAGTGTTAATATTCTTTCTAGCCTGCTTCTTCAAAGTCCAACTTTGGAGAACTATAGCAACTATAGAGCATCACAGGGAAAACTATTGCCTGCGCAGTTCTGATCTTTTGTAGGTATAGACATATCACGGCATTTGAATATCTTTTCCAAGGCTTTCATGGATTCTGTATCAAGTGCTAGTCTTGGATGTATTTCTTGAGTGTTAGTTCCTTTACTATTGATAGTCGATTGTAAAATATAGAAAGTATCCACATCACACCTCTATATCTTTATTGTCACTTCTAAGACTGGTTGCTGTACCTATTGTCATTGGTTTAGTCTTATTAATAACAGGTATAGTACCCCTTGATTTTCATTATTAGAGCTTGCAAATTGGTTTACATTTTTAGCGATCATAGTATCGTTAGCATAGCACTATAATCTAAAATCAATGATCCATTGATGTTTCTTCCTCCAGTTTTAAAACCATACCCATCTTCTTCCAACTTAATTTCCCTCAGTATATATTCCACATATAGATTGAATAAATAACAAGATAGCATACAGCCTTGTCTTTTTCCTTCTGCTGGCATGGAGGTTCTATCTTGCCATGTTCCATCCAGACTGTGGCTTCCTGTTCTATGTATTAGTTTCTTGTAAGGAAATAAGATGTTCTGAGATTCCCGTTTTCTTAAGGATGCACACTTATTGAAGCTCAGTTAAAAAAAAGCAAATACAAATACAAGAAAATGTATCCTATTCTGGCAAATCTCTGATTACTTTTAGATGATCAAATTGGAAAAAACTCCCCAAAATTACTAATGTAATCTTTGTTCTTCCTACTCCTCTCTTAAAGCCTATCCCACAACAGAGTTAAGATTATATTTATCCATCCTTGAACTGACACAAAATGCCAGAATAGCATTTACTGTACCTGTTGCCAATTCATCAAATTAATATGGTAATAAAGCATACCATATATTACCTCAAAACCCACCTTTGATCACACCCACAAGAGGTTAGCTGATATCATCTTCAAGATTACGTGCAACATAGCATTACAGATTTTACCACCCTGAAGCTGTGGTACAACAATGATGGCTTAAGGGAGAAAACAGTACAGTGGAACCTCGGTTTACGAACGTAATTCGTTCCGTGACTCTGGCTGCAA